AGCTAAGATAGACTCTCCTCATTTACCCAGACCTCAAAGAGTCAGAACAAACCATAGTAAGAAAAGAAGGAAATGTTTTCTGGAAGCAAAATTCCCATGTTTTTTTTTCTCTTTGCTTCCACTCATTTTATGTTATGTAATTTTGTGTTACTGCGCTTGATATATAAAATGCTACTGTTATATAATGTAGTAATGAAATCAAGATGTAATGAAACATTTCCTAATAATCCTTTGTTTAGAGTTAATGAAAAATTCCGTAAAACCACTTTATTGCCAACATATTTACTGTTGAGGTTTATATAGAATATGTAGAACTTCTCTTTATGTGTTTAAGGTCAAAACACAACATTACATAACAACATATTAATAAATACTTACAGATAATGTAAAATAATTTCTGCTAAGACTTACTTATTTCAGAGTCCTACTCTGATAGTTTAATCCACATTTGAATGCAAGAAAGCTCTCTTCACAAACATATCAGTTGTACTTCATTTGTTGCATGTAGTGTATAAGTGCAGGGTATTCTGCTAAGGTGGTCCATCCTGCTCTGTGCTCAGGGCAAAGAGGAGCACACTGGGAAATAAAGCAGGTAGGCAGTGTGATGCTCATAACTTCACTGTATGCTCTTGTGCCCTCTGTAGAGGAGATTTTGGCAGGCTAGGTAAAGCAGAACATTCAGAGGTTACACAAAATACATATCTTTAGAAACAGAAAGTTGGAAATAAAGCTACTTGTTTGAATTCCCAATTCCCTGTCTCCCACACAAGCGTTTAGTAGCAGACCTGTTTCACCCATGCAATGTTGCGTTGCTATTGCACCGAATAAGTGATGAATACAAGCTACAATTTATTTTGTGCATGTTTGTATGTATATGTTTCTAGATTCGCTTGAAGGAGTTTAACATATTTGATAAAGCTGATGCATGCAAGTTTTGGGTTGTATCCAAATGGTTAATGCACTCATTGTAAGTCCCTTTGGATAAGAGCAAGATACTAAATAAATGTAATGTATTATTTCAGAAAGTGTGCCAAACTTCTGTTCTAATTCAATATGAGTAATAACTGGACTGTTGTTGAGTGTTACCATGCTAACATGAGTAGGAAAATAACTTTTGTGCACTGTACAAGATGACCAAGATCTCATTTCCACAAAAGGTCAAACTTTTTTAACTGCCTTCCCCAGCCAATTCTGGATACCAAAAAACTAAACTATCGCAATACAGTGATCTGTGTTTCACTATCTAAAAGAATTGAGACATGGCCATTTATTACATCCGAACTCTTTTCAGCAGCACTTGTGTAGACAAAATAAAAAATAAATGTGCAGTTAAATGATAAATGGCAACAAAGACTGTAATATTTAAGTTTTCTTGAGTCATTGTGACTGAAAGCATGTATTGATTTCTTGGAAGGCTCTTTTGTACATGCACTTCACCTCCTCATCTCCTCCTCATTTATTCCTCTGAATCATATTCAGCACACCTTCTCTGATGGCTTCCACAACACTCTTCTTGGCCTTTAGATTATGAAAGCCTGTTCATGCTTTTCTGCTGTGTCCATGTTTTTACCACACACATTTCACAGTATTATGTAAGAAGGAATTTCAGTTCTTCTGCAGACATATCTGCTGTTTATCGATGCTGGAGCTGTGTGCTGTACACATACTCAAAAGGCCTGAGAGTCATTATGTGTGAGAACTTCAAATGCTGTTTACATGATCAGTAAGGGGAAAAAGTCCATGGTGAAGGACAGAAAGACACTTTGCTGGATATTAATACTGTGTACTTTTTCATCCAAACTAAGACCAGACCTTGACCATTGTACTACTTCATGGAGTTTATATATATCTTAATGTGACAATAGATGTATCTCAGTTCAGTGACAGCTGTGGGAATGATCATTTTTGCATCACAAATTACATTTTTGCTGAATCATGATGATGTGATGATATTTTCTGACATCTGGAGAACAAGATTTGTAGGCCAGGGCTTCTCTTCAGAACTACAGTACTTCATCGTAATGCTGTTGCTGCTGATTTATTGTGCAGCCCTAGTTTAAATCATATTTCTAAGTAAAGGTGTCAACTGTTCTCTGCTTCCAGAAAATTCCTTTTCCAGTAGGACAGTGCCATAAACATGGATTATGGTGATGCCATACCTATTTAAACATTTATATTTAATATTTTTGGGAAGTATGCTTATTCATTACAGTGTTTTGTGTTTATACATGGGTAATGTGTAGCAGTATTTCTTTCTCGGGCACTCTTTGAGTCTTGCTCTTAATGAAATATTAACATTATGTCACTCAACTCAACCACACTGGTTCAGCAGGGGTCCTTCATGTTCCAAACCAAAATATAGTTTCAGACACAATATGACAATCATCTCTTTTGAAAGAAGAGAGAAATGATGTGAATTCTTAATAACAACAGAAGGAAACTGTCTTTATGTCATTACCTGCTTTAGTACTGCATCTAATGCTGTTGTAGACATATAATTACAAGTAAAAGAGATTTTAGGCACATGATGTAGAGTTCTGCTGGAAGATTTTTTGACCCTGCTGTATAAATGTATGCACTATTGTTACCTATCGCGTTGCTTTTAACAGTGTGTTATCTCTGTATTTCTTCAGTTCAAAAATATTCAAACTTCCAGAGTTTGGAAGAAGAACAGCGTATTTTGATTCCACTGGACCTCTGATCTTTGTCTCTATGCCTCTTTCTGTCTCAGGGAGACTATGATCCAGTGAAAACCCGAGTTCTCCACCTCAAAATGAACCCTACCACTGTTGCCAAGCAACAGCGGCAGCAGGAAGTTGAGGCTCTTCGTGAGGAAGTGACACGTCTCAGGGAACTCGTGCGCTCATTGCAGGATGGAGGTGCTCTGGTCCATTCACAAGACGACTCCAGTATGCACACTCCCAGCTTCGGCCTCAGTTTGCCGCCATCGAAGGAGGTGCTGGGTAAGATATACAACACAGACTCACATTTACAGACTACACTTGTACTAAACTGGCTCATTAGCTTGCACTAGCCTCGTAATAAATGAACCAGGGGTGGGCAGTTGCATTGACTTTTTCATTGTCCATCACATTTCCATTACCATAAATTTTTATGGAGCTAAACATATGTGCCTCAGCTGAGATTAGGGCCAGAGCAAACATTATAGGAGAAATAAACTGTCTCCAACACAGAGTACATTAATGTAGGACACAGTAGGTACATAAAGGGCTTAACTTGAGCTTTAATTAGCCAGTTATTGAATAACGCTATGCTTGAAATATTCTGCATGTATTATAGAACCACACTGTTCAGTATGAAGAGGTAAATAAAACTGAGTTATATAACAGTTCATTATGTTTGGACGGTTACTTCTTTGATTACTTCCACTGTTGGCTACCAAGGCTAAAACTGTCAGTCAACCTTACAGATTCAAGGTTTAATTATTTATCATTCTACATCGTGTTGAACAATGAAATGTAAGTTGTAGCCCCTTATGCGACTCACAAAACAAAAAGTATATAAATGTATGAATAAATAATGAGTAATAAAAATAAATGATTATGTATAGTGAATTGTGGAGGATGAATTCAGGAGTCTGCGCTCCAGTTGCTCCTCTGTAAACGTTAACAAGAAGAAGGCCTGGGGATTTTGCTGTGTTAACTTTTGTTAAGAAATATAGTCGTTTCTACACTTTCTTTACCAGAGTGGAGATGTGTCATGTCTATGACAGTGACAGTCAATTTGATATTTTACTACTTTCCACACAGCACACTTTTGACAGGTATTCAGGTCCTCTTCCCTTTCAGACTAATGAAATAAAATAAAATGAGAGGAACTGTTAACCTATGTCGTCTGCTGGTTATGTCCTAAACCAAAGTAGGTGGGAAGGAAATTGTTTCACTGATATTTATATTTGAGGCCATTGAGGCTTTTGTCCTCTTATGTGTCAGTATATGACAGTTAGACGGGTGTGTAGTTTTGACAGGGTTAAATATTTAATTGGAGTTCAGGGTAGTTCAGCGCCGGAAGTCTGTTGGCTAATATGTCTTCTGGGGACCAGACTGCTCTGCGCACTTTGTCTGTCTCTCACTCACTCACTCTCACCAATGCTCTAATCCATCTCTCGCCTCTTTTCTTTTTCCAACTTCCACCCTTCTTTCTCCTTTTTTACACTTCCTTTCACTCTTGTCTTTTCTCTGTCATTTCCCGTTGCCTTTTGTCTTGCCTTTCTCTTCATGACCCTTTCTTCTCCCGTTTTTTTTTTCTTTCGTGGGAAATGATAATTGAGTTTCTCACCGATGTGCTCAATTTCCACCCTGGCAGATAATGCAGACCTAATGTGTGATATCTGTTCTTATCTTCAGACCAGGTCAATGCAATGGGATGTCTGGAAAAGTATCAAAGTTAAACTTAATAATTTTTATGCCTTTGAGATTGGCACAGGTTTAAGAACTATTCCTTCATATACTCTATATGACTGAACATTAGTTACAGACCGCACAGACACTGAGTAATGGTTGAACCTCACCATGAAATAAGAAATTACAGAAAATTCACCTTTTGAAACATATCTCTTGCAAAAAGAAGTGCTTAATATAGCAATGAACAGTGTGGCAAAAATCCCTAATTATCCCACAATGCGTTGTGGGTTTTTAAACCGTTGCTGTTTTTATTAATTATTATTTTATTGACATCATTATTTTAGTCAGTTGGTACATTTTGTGCAATTAGAAAATCATAATTGATGTCTTAATTTCTATTGTATTTTCTCCGTATAAAGTTTCTTTTAGCCTCTTGTAAGTTGCTCAGGCGCAAAGACAATTAAGATACTTATGAAATGTCTATTTCCACTCTAAACTTTGGGTCATGAAAAGATTTTTAATGGCAGGTGTTGCTGGCACTGTTTAAGTGTCTGTGCATGGATGAGCAGTTCTACCAGTGACCTAAGAGCTAAGTAAGCTCTACAGTGAAGTTTTTAATGAGATTTTAAACAATAATGATGGCAAAAACATGTTAAATGAAGACTAGGTTTAAAGTGACATAAATTATTCTTTAATTTGGCTGATTTTTGCAATAGATTAAAACCCCTTCTATTATACTCATCAAGGATTTTTTAAAATCAAATTAAACCAGTGAATTCAGCGGTTGTTAGTATTATTTAATATTATTCAATAATATTCCTAGCTTTACATATGACTGTGTTCTCTAAATGAAGGATTATTTTTGTATTATTTATTATTTGCAGTAAAAAGTGAATGTGTTATGAAACAATTGACCCCTCTTCCTGCTGTACGGCTTCTAGATACATTTTACTTCAGTAATACATTTTGTCAGTGGAATAATATGTAGCCAGAAATTAGACAATACCACTTACAGATGAATCTACCCAACCATAATTTCCCAACAAATGATTTGTGTAATTTCCCATTTTTGATCATTTCACAAATACCAATGCATACTTTGGGTAAAGTTTAGGTTGAAAATAAGCAGGCAAAAATATATAAATAAGAAGCTTCCTCAGCAGTGGAATTTTCTTGACAGCTTTTAAGAGACAGCACACCCAGACCCGTAGAGACCAATTAAGGGTAAAAGTCAGAAGTCACTAACTTTCTCAAAACTTGACAGTTGGTGTAAAAAATCTTTTAACCACAAGTACTTTGACCTAGCAACTAAAAACACATTGGCATATTTTTGTGTGCGCTTGTGCACATTGGTTTTTCGATTGCACGGGCAGTAACTTGTCCCTGCGTATGTGTCCATTTGTCTGCATGTTACAGTAAATTTAAGCAGCGTCTACTTCGTGCTGTCACTTGAGAATTAACAGCCATTTTCAGGGTAGTTTGATAGCTGTCATATAGTGACAGTTTTGTCACAATGCTGAAGTCTTGAAACAGTATTTATCAGTACTGACTGACACTCGAGGAGCCCAGTCACCCAAGAGACAGACAGGCACACAGACAGACACACTCACAGACTCTTAAGTTTATACTTTCTAGCCATTTAGTTGTGTAATAATGACGGATAAAAGTTTAATAGGCTAGGATATATGAAGAGAATGATGGGTAGAAATAATTATCAATCATAGCAGGGTTGGAAGCCTGGGCTATAAAAATGCAGCGCTGTCACTTTTAACTGCTCAAGAATATATAATATATGTGTGTGTGCATTAGAATCGAGAATTTGTGACTGGTTGGTGTTGGCCGTAAGAAAGTGAATAGCGCTGTTTTTAAGTAAAGTATAATTCTTTTGACAGTAGATGTACTTAAGAATGATCATGTTCAAATTGTTTGTCTCCATTTTTTATTCTCTTTCTGGTGCTCTTGCCTGTTTTCATTACCAATGTTTTGGTGTCAATACTTACTTTTGGTTTAATTTAAAAGTTAGCCCCAGCTGTCTGACGCTGCAGTCAGATTTTTCAGTACTATTGCACACAAACCTGTTGAGTAAGTTTTCAGTAAATGTGAACAGTAATATCAAGGAAACATTTGCCTCTTCATGGTTGTGTTGTTCACCTTTTCTAATGTTATATAATATCACAAAAACAAATATATTTATGCACACTGTCGCATGCACGTGTCTCACTTTGAACTTTTTATGCAGTGATAACATTGTAAATACTTTGCTGCATAACGACTCATTTATGCTCAGACAAACTAATTTCTCTGCCTTCTCAAATCAAGTCTTCAAAATTAAAGTAATTATCGCAAATTGATTTTCAGCAAATTAAAGTCAAGCCCCATCCTGCTCCTCCTCTCCATGAATCTCTCTGCTCCCAGCTAGAACATGCAGCTGACTGCTTTAGTCACCATGACACTCTTTGCATTATAGTGTTTTTTAGACCCTAAGTGAGCAGATGGAGTGCCTCAGGGAGTGTGTATGTGATATGGGGCCGTCCATCTATGCTGCTTTAACTGAATGAGTTGAGCATGTACTTGTGGAGCATGTAGTACTATGTAGCTTAGTATTTGAGTGGATTGCCTTAGTTTTTTGTGTCCATAAAGAATGATCTTATAAAAAATATAGCTAGTTCTAGACCAATATCAGAATATGTGACTGATTTAGTCTTCCTACTTTTGTGTCTGTTGCAGATTTACGTAAGCAGATGGAGAGCTCAGAGCTCAGGAACCAGAGGCTGAAAGAGGTGTTTCAGCGGAAGATTCAGGAGTTCCGCACAGTATGCTACGTCCTGACCGGCTATCAGATAGATATCACCACAGAGAACCAATACAGGCTCACCTCAGTCTATGCCGAACACATGGATGACTCCTTGCTCTTCAAAAAGGTACACATACTTGAAATTTAGTAATGGGCAATGTGAACACAATCTAACTCAACTTTCATTTTATATTTACATAAAAGAAAGGACATATTGAAACTATATCACATTATTTCCATAAACAAAATCCCAGATATTTATATATATATATATATATATATCTCATTTACTAATATCAGTTTTATCAATATGTATTAAGCTTTACATGCTCCTATACTTACAAACATGCTGAGATCAGATATGGTTGCAGGTGGCTATAAGCCGCTGGCAGTGTGTATTTCTGTAAGCATATGCACCAAGATCATTAACGTAGAAGTGTGAAGTTAAAAGGGAAACACTGTCAACATCAAAATTCCTACAGGCTGTAACATCTGTGTGAGTGCTGATATCTGTCTCAGTGATACTTCACGAAGTACAAATTTGACCTAGAAAGGTGTACCCCAACCCCAATCCCCCCCCTTTTTTCCCCCATGTATCCCCCACATGCACGTTTATGCTCCATTACGCCATGTTATAGCTTTGTGCTGAACTCGGCCATGCAGGGACACTGATAGACTGCTGTGTGTGTGTGTGTGTGTGTGTGTGCGTGCGTGCGTGTGCGTGTCGGCTTATGAGTGGAGGAATCGACTTTTGTGTGCTGACGAGAGAGAGGAGAGAGTGTGTGTGTGTGTGTGTGGGGCTCATGAGTGGAGGAAGGATTTTGGGTGTGAGTGGAGAGAGAGTGATGACTGGGCAATGTCACAGGGCTGAGCTGCATTAATCGATCACCACTCCCCATACGCTCATTGAGTGGGCTAAATAAAAACTGTATGTGTGTGTGTCCCTTAGCTGTTGAGCAAATCCTTTTCTTAAGTAGCTTTACAGTGAAAACATCCTGTTGTGCTCCCTTCGCACCTACCTCTTTGTCTTTCTCCTTCCCCTTCTCTTCTCTCTCCATCCTGCCCTGCTGCACTTTTTCTCTCTTTATCTCTCCCTTGTTGTTTATCTCTCTCACCCTGTCTCTGTTACTCTCTGATTCGAGTGTGTAGCAGAAGCTAATCACCGTGTTGTTGCTGTGGTGTCTTATGATAGGGGGCCTCTAGCTAGAACAGAAACCGTGGAGAATCCATACTGGCAAGGTAGAAGGCAGCTTTATTATCTTGGCAGGGTAATTATTGTGGTCAAGTGCAAAGACGATTGCGCCTTACTGCCTTGCTCAAGGACTCACTTGAATTCTTGTGGAGTAGAGAATAACGTGAGAATAAGAAAATGGGAGGAATTTGAAAGTGCATGTGCGCGTACTTTTTTTTTTCTCTGCTGGTGTGTCCAATCTGCTCCATCGAACCCACCTGCGACCCTGCCAGAAGAGATAATTCACTGTCAATATTTATTAACCTCAGACTGCGTCCATAGAACACACACACACACACAGTCATAATGCCCTCATAGTGCGCACTGTCACACTCAAATGCTCACATACTCCAATCTCAACAGTCTCCGTCACACCACAGTTCACCACACAGCTCCCCATACCCCCCATCTCTGTTAGGTGCACATGCATACAGATGTACAGAGACAAACACACAGTACCACACAAAACTGATGTAACTTCCCTGTATTAAGTTTCATGGTGTTCTCCACTCTGGTGTGCATGACACACACCACCCTGGTGCCTAATGGGAGCGGAGAGGCCTGTACTCTAATGGAATACCGCCGACTCCACACCACACACACACAACCACACACACACACACACACAGAAAGGAACACCCACACTTAAAAGAACACACACACTGAATACACATGAATACAATATACATAAGATGCATAACATGCTCTTTACTTGTGTGTAAGTGTAATCTGGGTTGTGAGAATATAAAGTGGACTAATTGCAGGATGAGGCAGGAGTAAGTGGAGAGAAAATGGGGGATTTTGGACAGGAAGCATAGAAGTCTTTACAAATAGGATTCTAATGTTATTCACCTCAGCAACAGGGTTGCCAGATAATCCTGCTAATATCCCCCTCTAGCAGAGGCACCCAAATCCCCCTCCTATGGTGTAAGCTGTTTAACCTGCAACTGTCACGTTCCCTCTCTCTCTTTTTTCTCACACATTCATTATGTCGCACTCTCATTCAAATGATTTCTTCACCCATTATTCGTGTTTACTTTTCAGCCTTTCAACATTGCTGTAATTTGGTAATTGAAACATTTCAAGTTAAATTGTCAAATGAGATGCTTTCCTGTTTCTCTCACTCGTCTTCTGTGAGTCTCAACAGAGATGGTGGAGAAACACAATGATAGTGGTAATTATAACTGCAAGAAATGTTTTGTTTATTCAGTCTTTGTTACTATCTTCGCTCAGATGTTGTAATTAAACTACTTTTCCCCATTTCATCATTGAGAAGCGTCAGCACAATCAAATGCTAATTGAGGGTTTTGGGGCAAAAGTGGATACTGAGACAATACTTTAGTTATCATAACTTATATACTGGCTAATCATTTCAGCTCAGTTCAGGTGTTTTAGTTTAGTTTATGTTATGCCCACCTACTCTGTATTCCCACCTCCAAACACTATTCTTTCCTCATTTTGCTCTGCTGGATTGCTTTTAGACATACTAGTGGCATGGCACTTGGGTTGGTGATGTTAGTCAACTGTCAATCAATCAGTCTAGCTTTGGTCGAGAGTGCAATATTGTGTCTCAACAGCTTTTAGAAGGGTTGCCATGAAGACATTTATGATGCCAGAGGATAAGTCCTTATGATTGGTGCCCCTGATTTTTCATCCAACACCTCAAACAGATCAAACTTTCCACTAGCTGTCCAATTCTTAAAAGACAATATAATACAACACATTTGTATTCTAGACTAGACTAGCTTTAAACATAAAACTTTGTAAGAAGGACAACATGGACAGCTTTAATAACATCACTGAAGACATGATTGAATTTAATTAAGTATGTAACCAAACAAATATTACTAATATCTGAACTCTAAATACCCTTGTAAATTATTACGGAATTCTTGTTAGCTTCAGTTTGTAGCACTTTCATAGTTGGCTGCCATGCTAAATTGTGTGAATGTTATTAAATGCACGTTAACATGATGATATGGTAAACGTATACGACTGGTGGTCCTTTTTCAAAGTTACTTGTCTAACTTTTATTTCATCATTCTATTGACTATATCTTCTGGTTAATCAAGATGCACACCTCCACAGCATTTAGCATAAAATCTTTTGAAGTTTACATATATTTGTAGACTTCAGAGTCAAGAGGAATCTCACTATGTTGGCACCTCCATGCTTGTGTTTTTTTTTCATTGAATAAAGTCAGAAGTTAGAATGTGTTTTTGTTAACAGTGGGTATTGGAGTGATGGGAGATCAAAAGTTGTGGTTTTCAGAGTCGACTGTAACTGTGTGCTACGGTATGGTGCAAAAGCTACTTAGTCAAAGCTAGTTTATGTGGGGAAATAGTTTGTCAATTAATAATGGATTGGATTAATGCAATTTTATATTAAAATGGCTGTGGTGCCACAATTATTTTGATATGCAGAAAATGTTTGTGTGTATTAGTCTAACTTGCATGTGTGTAATTTATATTTTTAGCTCACCCCTAGGTGAGAGGGCTGATTAGCATCAGTGATTAGGTATTTATGAGGCCCTGCTAATCAGCGAGATAAACACCTTAGCTGTGAGAGCGAGTGAGTTATTTGAACATTTTTCTTCCAGAAGTTTCAAGGAGAGGGAGGCACTGCTTGCTTTAACATTTACCCATTTAAATGTTCAGATAAACACAAAGTCCAAGAAGTCACTCAGACATTACATGATTTTCTTAGCAGTTTTTTTTTATGCACAGCGATTACATTGCTTAGAAAAATGGTGCTTTATTTTAATCATACAATTGTGTGGACTCGAGACATGCAGTTGCTCAAATGAAGAAGTGCATTCGTCAGGCAGATAAAGACTTGAAATTTACCCATCATGTTACTGTTGTTCTAATACTTACCTAAGAAACTTAAGTTTAGCAACTTTAGTTGAGTCAGAACAGTTAAAAAAAATCAAGGCACATTGTAGACAAACAAGTCTTACAAGTTGTGCATCTCTGTAAGTAATCTCCCAAAGCAGACCCACTGCTGGGCTTACACACCTCTGCTATTGATTAGCTCATTAACAAATAAACAAACACACACACAGAGCTGTGCGCTCTGCAGCAGTGACTTAAAACTTCTAGATGTTCTCTATCGACCTGACTTTTCTGTCTTTTTCTCTTTCCCTCTCTTGCTCGTTCTCTCTCACACTTCCTTCACTTCCTTGACACACACTCCCCTGTGTACCCTTCCTAATGAAAGGAAAAGATAGAATCTCAGGTCCAGCTCATTAAAACATACTCCCAGTTAACAGTCAATGCTCTCACCAGAGAGAGATAGAGAGAAAGAAAGGAATGTATGGAGTAATGGTGGTAGGTAGGTGATTCGTAGATAGAGCAGAACGTTTAAAAAAATGGTAGTGGCTTCAAGAAGCAATGAAATAGTGCCTTTTTGAAAAAGCTAAATAATTTGTATCTGTGTGTGTGAGAGTGGGCGAAGGAAGGGGACAGTTAATAAAGTACAGTTTATGAACACTGTCGAGTCTTAATGACCTGTCTCTGTTTTATCAGCCACTTGGGAATGATTAACACCACACAAATGTGTGTTTGCCTGTGTGTATGTCTGTGTAAGACAGATTGTAAGCCATCACTGCTTCAATGGTTTAGTCATTTGTCTATTACGGCTTAATTTTAAAATAACTTTGAAGCACAGCTCGACTGTCAGGGCAGCTGCTGGCTACAGTTCCAATAAGACTCGAGCCATGGGAGCAGCTGGGAGCCGGTGCAGTGGGGCCCAGCTGGGCCACTGGCCAAAAACGTTTCTGGTGTCACTCTTTCTCGCCCAGTGATAAGCCTGTTATCTTTGCCTCTCTTTTTCTGACCAATCATTTTTAATGCCACCACAGTGTTAGAGTGTCATTTGTAGCAGGCAGTGTGGCA